TCTTAATCCTTAAATTGATACCAGATTAGGTGACGACCACAGCTGGTTTTTAAAAGTATCTTTTCTTCATGGAGCCTGTCACAATACAAAGTTATTGGAATTTACTTGCAAAGAGGACGCAGTTGGTTTTTCTAATTCCATAGGCTGCAACCTACAAGGTCAAACCCAAAGTTTGCATTTGGATGTCAACCCTGCCTAGAAGTGACAGTGATCTGAGTGTGACATCAGTTGTGGGGCTAAGTGATGGGTGATGGGCCTGAGCCCGCAGGTGTCCACCTGTATCCGTCACCATACACTCAATGTTCCTCCCCTTAGAGAATGTAGGAAGAGAAGAGAAAGCCATTTTATGATTACTATTTGGGGATTGCCTGATAAGAAAGAGGAAGCAACAAAATTTTGCGCTAATTCCCAGGCACACAGATATTAGACTCTTGGCCAGGGTTTCCCTTTTTCAGAAGATGGATGGGAACCTCACTTTGCCACGAGGAAATTACACAAGTTACTCTCTAACATTCTAAGCCATGTATTCACAGGCCTTCCGATGTTTGAGGCCTGGAGAGTCCAAGAAGCCCTTATTCTCTTCAAAGTCTGATAAGAGCAAGCTCTGAGATGTTTCAAAGTTTGTCTAATGTGCCTGACTCATAAGTTGTCCATTTCAGTGAATTCTCTCTTGTTCAGTCTCCAGTTCTGCTTCTCTGGTCTAACACCTTCATGTTTCCTTTCCATAGAGCTTCCTTTCCATCCGGTTTTCAAAGGACTGGTGGGGCAAGACCAGGAATCTATCAAATTGCCTTGTGGGGCATCTGGTGGCTGCTTTTGCCAGTCAGGAAGTTTTTATTGATAAAGTAGTTGCAATACTGAAATCTAGAGACTTAAAAACAAGATTGAACCATATCCCTTGACACTGTGAGGCTTCTCAAGTGTTTGTGAGACATACATATGAATACAAACATGAGGTAAATAAGCAGAGAAAGGGGCAACAGGCTCCATTTGAGGGGGCTGGTCAGGGAAAATATCCTGGAGGCAGGACTGACTGACTGCGTGAGGACGCTACCAGCAGCACAGTCTCAGGCTCAAAAGTGTGACATGCTTTGAACTTACTGCTTTGCAGTCGTGTTTTGAAAAATTTAATAGATTTATCTGTGAATTTGCGTTTCATAAATGAAGTCTAAGAAGATAATGGACTATGTGTCAGGGGCCTGAAACTTTGGCTTCTGTGCAGTCCAGCCCTCTGCTGCCACGCAGTCTTCTCAAGAGAGGGTCTCTACTGCCCCTTCTCAGTCCCTTGAAACCCTTGAGCAGTGACCTTGAGAGAAGGTGGCCTCTACTGTCATGTCAGCCTCTGTCCCCAGTGGGGCCTTGGACTCAGGGACAAGAAATGGTAAGGGTCACACATCCCTTGGTATGGGCTCCATAGTATCTTGGGGTGCAAGATACCCCCAAACTAGCGGTATAAGTGTACACTCCTTCCCTAATCCTAATTAAGGTTCCATGTGTGTCCTGGTACGGTACCTACATGGGTTAATTTCCCTACGTTGGCTGGAGTCCCACATTTTCAGTTTGCACTGGACACACAAATTATGTTGCAAGTCCTTCCCAGACATGATGATGCTTCAAAGGATTCCTTTTTTTAAAATTTAGAACATTTTCTACATTCTCCTACCCATTATTTATTAGCTCATTATTCCCCCTTAACTTCCCCTGCTATAACCCTAAATTCTATCTCTCTGGATTCCCTTCAACTGATTCTTGAAGGTTAAGTAGGAATCTTCCAGATGATAAAGTTGGGGAAAGAATTGAAAGAGTCTCCTAAGAAGAGGAGACAACATAACCAAACATGAAATTTCATGATACGCATGGAAAGCGCCGCCCCCCCTCTATCTCCCATTCCTGAACATCTTGATGGATCGTGGCTTCATTTCCCGAGTTGAGAAAGAGTGATTGAATCCAAGGGAAATCGGAGTTCCGTGTTGACCATGAGAATCAAAGATTTCTATTAGACATTCAGTTGAAGATGTCAAGTTGACAGAGTCCAGAGTGTCAAGCCGTGATATTGGGAGCAGGTGATGTTGTCCAGGTAAAGGTGGCACATTCTGTGGAGAGGGGGGGTCTGACACTGAGCTCTGAGACATTGTAGAGGATGAGCAACAGAGGAGGGTCCAGCCTTTGGCAAAGGAAGAAACTCAAGAGGGAGCTTGTCATGGAAGGAAGAGAGGAGGGTGTTTTCAGAAGAAGGTCTGCGCAGCATTAAAAAATATTAAGTAATAGAAGCTTCACAATATTTAATATATAAATCTAATTTTTCAGCCTTTCTTGAAAAATCAGCAGGCCTGGTAACACAGGGTCCACGTTCTGTCTGTTTGATAAAAATTGAGTCCAGCCACACAAGGTGTGCACTCATTCATCGGCATGCATCCTACTGTTTCCTGTGGTCTCACCCACACCGTCTACTGGGTTCCTGGATGCGGGGCTGCCAATCCTCCCCTGTCACCCTGCTTCCCTCACGAGTGCTTCGATCTTTCCTCCAGAGCCTGGGAAACAAAGGATGCCCTGTGAAAACCCTGTGTTTGAATGACAAAATTGAAGAAAGCATATTTTTTGGGGGGCTAGGAGGGTGTAGAGACTATTCTGAGACTCTAAATAAGGGCATACAACCTCTTCAAAGGAAACAGCTCTGTCCATTTTATTGAATTATAATCCATGACCCTCCTGGATTCTGCAGGCTTTAGAACTGACCCTGCTCTAAATCTATTTGCAAATCCTGCTGCCAGAATAGATATTGCTCCAATGTTTTCATCACGTTATTTTGACTGTTCAATTAACCTCAAACAGTCCTCAGTGTCGGTGCTCATTTATTTTTTTAACAACTGATAGGAACTGACTGGGGATGTTTTTCAAATCAAAATCCATTTTGGGGAACATTTGTCCAACAGCCTCCTTAGAGCTTTCTCCCTATTGTTAATTTGGAG